CTCTTGGGGACAACAGCGGACACCAAACGTCAATTTGGCGTTTCTGTCAGAGCAAACTGTCGCATCCGCTGCGGGGGAGGGGTAGGGGAAGAGTGACGGTTAGAGGTGGAAACTAACTAACTAAAGTGTCATACGCGCTTGATGCCAGACTAATATCTGCGAGGAGAGGCGAGGCGAGCCGAACCGAACCGAACTGAACCGAACCGCCGCGTCAGCTGCATTTGACACTTGTGCGTGGTACAAGTATTTACGATATGCCTCGGCAACTCGACCGATTTCTAGCGATTCCCTGCGATTTCTTTGTTTATAATTTCAATGGATAGAATGGTGGTGTTCCTGCCCTTGGCAATCTGTCGACCACCCTGTCCGTCTGTCCGTCTATCTGTCTGTCTGTCCGTCCTGACTTTCTGCCTGAGTTTCTTCCTGTCTCTTGCCTGTCCCTTGCCAGTCCCTGTCCTGGCACTGTCTGTCTGCTTTCTGGGACTGGTTCTGTTTCTGGGTCCTGTCTCTTTTATGTGCTTCCTCGTTATTTTGGTTGACAATCAAATTCTAACGAAATTGGATTCCCTTGTTCTTGGGCACGCTCTGTCGGGCCCTGACCTCCTCACCCTCGTCCTCTTCTAAAATATTAAAAAATGGCAAATGGAAAATGAAAAAAAATCAAGTAAATTGCCTGCAATTTCAATTGTTTTTCCTCTTTGTCCAACAACATGTGTGCTGGCAGATATTTATTTTTTTATTTCCGATTTGAACCCAGCATTTTTAATGCGAAAATCATTTCACAAATTGTTTGCCAGCGATATTTATTTTTCAAAAACAAAATGTAGTTACCGCTGTGCCCCGGGGACAATACATATAGTACTATATGGAGAAGCACCCGTCTCCGTTCTATTATTTCAGCTGTCAGACATTTCGACACTTGAAATTGAGCGCGTGTGATATTTTCATTTCGAGGCAGGGAAAGGGTCGCGCTGTAGACGAGTTTGTGGGAGATATGTGGATATGCCAAGCCTCCAGCAAAAAAAAAAGGGAATATAAAAAGGGAGCGCAAGAAATTTGCACAACAGGAAGCTGTAATTGGCCCTGGAGCGCTTAAGTAAACAGCGCCAAAGCCAAAGCCAGAGCCAACCCAGATCCAGACCCAGACAGGGAAGAAATATTGGAACAACAGCAGCTGTTGGCTGATAAGGTCGCACCCAGAGCCAGGACTGGGCTCCTTACACAATGCCAACTGATTGCCGTCTTGCGTGTTCATTCGGGGTTTCCTTTCCTGCCAGCCAGCAAGGGTGAGGCTTATTAATTATGACGGACCATGAATTGATAATGGACGAAGTCCCAACAGGGCCAGCAACGGGAGGCGTGCACCGACCCTCACATGAACAACATCAGTGGCAGGCCATATGCACTTGATTGGTTTAGCTATAGATAGATGGCCTAATGGAAACTACGTATCAAGCATTTTTATTATAAAAGTATAAAAGTTCTCTCAAACAAAAACGAGGACTAAAAGGAAATGGTTTGAAATTGAAAAATAAAATTGGAATATACTGATTGAAACCAGATTAGATGTTATCATATATATAACTAGTAGCTGACCTGTCAAGCCATTTGCCGCAGTATTGTGAACTATTTCCGTTGCTCCGAACGATGTTATTGGGAAGCATGAATTGAATGTGCGAATGGACTTCAGGAACAGGTTTGAGTCTGGATCCGTGCCAATGAGCAAGCCATTCAATGGTTCTAGCGGTGTCTCAATTATAGGTAGCTGCACTTTCCTGATGAGTCATACCATCTGACTCATGTTTGAATTTGACCCAATGACAATGTGGACATTCTTTGCCCATAGCAACAATCAGCAATTTCGGATGAGCGGAATGCGAGATAAAGAGACGAAGCGTCGTCTGCCATTTTCTCTGTGAGTGTCAATTACGTACCTACGTGCCAATTGTCCTTGTAGAATTCTTTCATCTAGTGCCTCTTTTGATTGAGATTCACGCAATTGCGACATGCTCACGCGCACAATTTCGTTATTTTGTTGGATTCATTCTTCTATACCTTCTTCTCTACTATTTCGCATGTTTCTTGTTTTATTCGCTTGAAGGCCCAATGGCTCTACCAATGTACCAATGCTTTCCAGAGTCCAACTAAATGATGAAGCCAATATACCCGTAAAGTCAACATAAATCGATTTAATTTAAAATTAGAATTAGAGATATTTGTAATTAAGCCAATCCATCATGGTCCGTTCCGATTACTTGTCGGATAGACTATGTTTTATTTCCCGTTTTAAAGGAAATCACGAAGCGTCGCACAGTGGGGCCTGAGATGGTGAATGGTTCCGTTCCCCCTCCGTAGGTGAGATCAGACAACAGCTGGCAATGTCCCCGTCTCTTGCTCAATCGCTTCTGGCAAGAAGGGGGACTGTGCCTGGGCAACATCAAAAGCCCGTTCGAGTGGCGGCTGCCACTTTTCAAAAGTGCGAAATTAAAACAAAATGTTGCAAGATGCTGCGGGCTCTGGCACTGCCTCCGACTCCTCTCCGATGGGGGACTACACCTCCGACTACGAGTCCAACTCCTCCTCTGACTTCGTCTTGGGCTCTTTGATCCCGTTTGGCTGATAAGCCGAGGCGGACCGGGCTCTTCACATCATGCGTAAAACGGCGTCAAAATGCAAATGTTGCGCAGGAAACTGCCGGCCCAGGCAGCTCCTCTCCGCTCCGCTCCCCTTCGCGCCCATCTCCATCTCCATCCCCATCCCATAGTCAGGCCGCAGCGCAAATAAACATTTTGCGTTTTAATTTATGTTGCAATGTTTGTGGCTGTGCGGCTGTTTGGCCGTGTGGCAGTGTGGAGCATGGGGAGCATTTTATTGCACATTTGCTCGGGGCCCACATTGCAAAATTTATCATCAACTGCACACTAAACGGGCAAAATGGGGGCAGCTTTCCCATCATCATCAAAAGCAGCACCAACGGAGGGGGAGCCACATAAGTTTTCCGCTCTAAAACTATGTAAAATATTTGGTTATGAAAACTCTTTTATACATATTTTTTGGGAATGGCAGAAATGTTTTTGGCGGTGTGGTTCGATGCCACAAAATTGCTTCTTTCTATGCTTAATAATATTCTGTAGAAGAACCCTGAACGATAGAGAGTTTTCTGTGGGTAAAAGCATTGATAGATGCCATTTAAAGAATGCCCGCTATTTTGTATAAGAATAAACCATAAGAATAAGCCCTGGAAATGTCTGGCTAAATCTTTTGCAGTGGGCTATCTGCAAAATCTGATCCCAATGCAGGTCCACAAGTTCTTGTAGTACGGTCGTCGCCACCCGCAGGTTAGTTGTGCAGAACCTCCTGAACAACGGTCTCATTTAAAATTGAAATGTGAAAATAATGCAAATTAATGTTAAGGCAACATTTTGTTATGGCATCGCCGATAAACAACGGCAGTGGAGTGCAGCAGCCTGTTTGGACAGTTGCTGGAAGAGAGGCGGCAGTCATCGTCGTCGGGCTGACGGACACACCTTGCGCCATATAGGGATACACCTCTCGGAGATCCTATGGCAGGGAAAGCGGTTCGTGCATTTGGTTGTGAATGTGGACGTGGGCCTGGGACAAGGACAACAGCATGTACATGTTAATTACTTGTGAAAATATGCAACAGACAGCAACGGCAACGGCAACAACATCAAGAGCACGAGCAAGAGGCAGAGTCGGCAGTTGCCATGAGGTAGACTTTTTTCACACCAACCGAAACCGGCATGGGAGGGACTGGCACTGGGACCTCTGATCGTACTGGCCTTTTGTTGCAGCTCTGCTCGTGTGCCCTTCAAAGCAAACTGGCTGGACGGACTGCCTGAATTGGCAGTTTCTGAAGGCAGGGCTCTCTCTACCGGGTCTCTCCCGGCTTGCTTCCGTTTCTATTTCGGTTACGGGTCGGGTTGGACCTGCCTGGGGCTGGCGTGTGTGTGTGTGTGTGTGTGTGTGCGGGCATACTAATTACAGCAGCCCCGAACCCATGCCCGACGTGCCGTACCGCCTTACTGCCGGGTGGATGTGGATGTGGTTGTGGATCTTTAATCGCTTCCCCCAGAACCCAACCTTTTGGCGGCGCTCATTAAGCGAAGGCAGCCGCACAGAAAAACCAGAACAGAACCGAACAGAACAGAAAACAACTTCAAATCACACGTTGTACACATTTGTTGTTATTTTTTATTACATTTCGGGACTGCTGCTGCTGCTGCCGTTCGTGCGAGTATCTTTCGGCCAGGCCTAATTGCTTTTTATGACAGTCGAGTGAATATGATAAATCTTTCGCCCGGCCCCGACATTATTTCGACATTTGTTTGGCTAGCAACATTCTTGGCAATTAAATTTATGTTTGTATTTCTCCCGCTTCCTTCGCACCACAAAATACTTGACATGTGTTGCCTGATGGCACTGCCACCGCCACAGCCACTCCTCCAACTATGCATTGTACATACATACATACATACATCCATCAGGGCATCCGTCCAACCATCCCCCACTTTAGACTCTTAATGAGAGGCCAAAAAGTGTCAGCTGTGCAAGTGCCTGACATTTATTTGCAATTGGCTTGAGGTTTGGACTTGGGATTGAGACTCAGACTGTGACTGGAACTGCGACTGCGACACTCCAATTCCAAGTGGGTCACATGGGAAGCGAAGCCCTTCAACGGCTTAATTTTTGTCGAGGGTAACTTCTGCGGGTGTTGCGGCCAATCAAAGTGTCCCACTTCAATTGGATTGAATGCTGAACAGATTGGGGCAAGTGTCAGGTCCGTCATCAGTTTCGGAAAGGCGCGGTCTGAGGAATGCATAATTTAATTGAATACTTTGTGGGTAGCCCATTGATTTAACCCGTCGTATTTTTGACAGAGTTTTCTGCCTAAAAAGTGAGTTTCGCCCAAAATAAATACAGCTCGGGGATTACATAAATCACACATCACATTAATCTGAAAACAATTTCTCTTTCAGCGTGTTGCATACATACACTCTTGAGGACTGGCCAAATTAGCATACACGAAGGAGAGCTGTGAAAATGTTTCGACACATAATAAACTTGACAAACAAATATAAAGTCCTCAGGGGCATGATATCGTATGGGACGCTTTGGCCCTGCGGCTGTCTTATCGAGCAGACGCTGATCGAGAAAAAGACATTCCGAACGTACGACTGGATGAAGTGTGTCAGGTGGGTCAGTGGTATCTGGTGGCCTGGTCCCAGTCCACCGCTAATTGGCTTTCTTGCTGCTTGTTGCAGGTTCAGCTTATTCGGCTTCTTCTTTATGGGCCCCACAATATATGTGTGGATCCGATTGGCTGGGGTTATGTGGCCACGCACGGATATTAAGTCATCGCTGTGCAAGGCGATCACCGAGCAGACCGCCTACGATCCGATGGCCATCAGCTCGTTTCTCTTCTTCATGACGCTGATGGAGGGCAACTCATATGCCCAGGCCAGGCAGGAGGTAGGTATCTGGCTACGAGTAATGATCATCCTCCCACATCGAGCGATCTGTCTTCAATTCTATTCGTTTTGCTTTGCTTATTACTTTGCGGCTTTGTCCAGCGTCCAATTAGTTATCGCCTCGCTAGGCTGTGGACTCGTTCTCAAGATTATTTATTTTGAAATTGGGTCTCTGGTTTCCCGCTCTCCGTTCACTCGCTCGCTCGCCGCAATTCGGTGTGTGGGTTTTGATTTCGGAAATCCATTTTCTCACGACAGATACAGACAGTCGCCGCCGTATCTGTATCTGCGGCCCAGCATCTGTGGCTGTAATGTAAGCATGCATAAATATCACCTGTCTGGCTGTCTGTCGCTGGCTCTCTCTCTCTCTCTGTCTCTCTGTCTCTCTGTCTCTCCAGCGTGTGTCTGCCACCATCTCGGTTTCCATCTGCATCTCCATCTCAGAGTCTGGGCCTGTCTCTGTCTCTGTCTCCGTTCCGAGTTGTCAACATTGATTTGTTGGCTTTGCGGCCATACTTTGAGATACTCGCACTCGCCTGCCCCCAAGTCTGTCCGAGTCCCCATCGTCCCAGTCGCCTTGCAACTGTCTGTCCGTCCGCCTGTCTGTCCGTCTGACTTCTATATCATTAGAAACCATTTATCTTGATAAATGTAAATGTTTTACCATATATTTATGTCAAACGTGCGTTGTCTCATTTGCTTTGCATGCGTTGCCCCTAAAGATCTATGGGCCGGGCTTCCTGGGGTGATTGGCTCTGGTCCGGGTCCGCGAAAGAGTTATGTGAGAGGCCAATGAAGATGTCTGCGGGTCCGGGCCGCTTGATCTTCCACTGAAAGTTCTTCAGAGGAAATAGTGCCACAGAAGATGCCACTAAATAATCGTACACATCGTACACCACAGACTTTCGTCCCAGTGTAAAATTCCAACCGGGTCTAATCTAATATTTAAACATTTGTTGAAATGCAAGCTTAAATTGAATCAAAAATTTTAATTTACCCAAAATGATTGACAATTTATGCAAAATTTTAAATGAAATACAATTGAAATCCATTACTTGCGTGCAATTTGCAAAGAGCTCAAATTCAACTGCTTTTTGAATGGATAACCAATCGAAACCAGATTCCTTTCATGGCTACAGAATAGCCAGGGTCCAATTCAATCACTTGAAATGCTAAAAATCAGGTTACATTTACCCCAGATTTATTGGCCTGGCTTGCCCATACTCTACCTCTACTCGAATAATTTTAAAATAAATGATTTCCATGCGAAATATTGCATTTGAATGGATAATTGTGCAGACACAAAGGTTGGATGTTTTATAATTAATTAGCAGACCAGACCCCCGACAACTACTGCGATGCTGACTTTTAACTCCGCTCCTCTCCGCTCCGTGTCCCCTGTCCCGAATCCAGAATCCCCTAGCCATGGATATCATTTACAAATTTACACACAATTACGGGCCTGTGGCGGTGGCGATGGCGATGGCGTAGAGTAAAATGTTGGCAAAAAGGGAAAATTTTCCATGCCGTCAATGCCTTTTAATTAACAGCATTAACAAAAATGCCACGCCCTGGTCTAGGGCCCCTGCCCCCTCCTGGCCTATGCGTGAAAGTGGAATAAAACCAGAAAACATTTTCACAGAGAGGAAGCCGCAATAAATAAAATTTTAAAGGTCTCCTAGAAATGCTCGCCCGACACTTAATTACAATTTTCCGCGCTGGCATTTTCCAGCCAACCAGCCCCAACTCCAGCCCCAACCCCGACCACTTCACACATTATGTCATTGCTCTCACTCTCCCCGCGGACTACTTCTTCTCGTTTGTCCCCAGGTTAGCGATAAATTCCTGGACGCCTATAAGGTGGGCGTTATTTATTGGCCCTGCGTGCAGACGGTGAACTTTGCCTTTGTCCCGGCCCGGAACCAGGTCGTGTTCACCTCGTTCTTCAGCATGTGCTGGACCACGTTCCTGGCCTACGTCAAGTTCCTGCATCTGCATCCCACCGTCGACGTGGACCACCATGCCGTGGACATACACTTCCTGGAGATGTGAGCAGTCCAGCCGCAGTAGAACCCAAAACACACAATCAAGTCTCCCAGCTTTTCCCAGCGATAATGTGATCAGACACGCCACGCCCACCAATACAACGCCCATAGTATAAGTTAATGACATGTCATTTCTCTTATTTTTTCCTTTTTACATTTATTTTGTTGTGCGCCATTAAAAAAAAAGTATAAATATGTGTATAAAACAGCCATTAACTGCGCCTGATAAATGAGTTGTGATAAGTTCGAGGTTTTTTCTACGTCAAATTGAATTGTTCCAACGCGGCGCTGATTGCAGTTTCTGTTTTATTTTTTGTAGTTTATTTTATTTACCAACTCGCATTAAAGTTGATAATTAACGATGGCCTGTGTGTTCTGTGTTAGAAACATGCTGCGGTTCTACATGTGGTCTCAGGGGCAATGAAAATAACGATGGGCGGATAACTCTCAATGGCCATGGCGTATCCTCCTATGGACTCCGTAGTTCATAAAATATGTACAAATGTACATAGCAGATGGCAACCTAAATGAATTCTTTTGAATAAAGCAATCACTACAAAAGAAAGCAAATCGAAGCTGTTGCAGTGGGAGAGTTATATTAAAATAAATAACTAAAATATATACTTAATTCAGAGTGAAACGACTGGTTGCATAAATTTGCCTACTATTGACCCGCATCAGCATTTATCAAAATTAATATTTATTTGTTGTTCGCTTTTTTTGGCGGGGATCTGGGTTCCATTAAAATGCATACGTAACATCTATGCATATTATACACATAGTAAATATATATGTATTGTATGTATATCTGTGTGGATTTGTGGGTTCGTTGATGTGAAACTGTGGCCTGTGGCCAGGGGCGTGGGGCCAGGGGGCAGGGACGAGGGACGTGGAACGACTACGAGTACCTAAGTGGTCGTGCTGAATGCGAGAGCTGAATGCATAAATAATGCCGATTTAGATTATTCTGAAACAGAAACATCATCTGGCAACGGTCTGGTCTCTGGTCTCTGGTCTGCATTTGGATTTGGATAAAAATGCGGCTGAACAGAACAGAACAGAACAGAACAGAGTGGTGGCGCTGCTGATGACGAGGCCATAATCAGCCAAATTAATATGGAAATTTATGCTGAGAGAAAAACGAAACCGCAAAAGTAAACGCAGAACGCAAACCTCAACGTAAACCCAGCCAAAACCCTAACGCATGTGGGTTCTGTTATCAGGGAAGGAAAACGTGGCGCACTTCCTGGTCGGTGGGCCCCCCTCTCCCTCTCTCTCTACAGTACATCGTCAAGCTGTGAAAAAACAATTGGAACAAAAGTTTCATTAAATTTAGCACAGCCCTCGGCTGGCAGGCCAATTTCCTATCCGCCCAGCGCCCATTTCTCAGTGTCTTACACTCGGATCTGCCTTCTGGAGCTGCCTGCGCCCTGCCGGCTCGGCATCGGCGCGCCATCGTTATAGCTGCTTTATAGCGCATTAATTTCGAAAGTAGCGCTACGTGTGCCAAAAATCATTAGCAACGGAATTACGCTCAATGAAATGCAGTCGACGGCGCCGTCGACAGACGACGGAAAACAAAAAGGGGGAGATAATAAAGCGTGGCCGGGACCGGAGACCGGCCGGGTTCGGGGTTCGGGCCGATGCCGGAACAGGGAATCGGGTGAGGTATGGGTATGGGTATGGGTTAGGGTAAGGGGACGACTGCCTGACACCCGCCCGGCAGCCGCTGCTTATAAATATACCCTAACGACAAGTTAAATGTTGAGTACAAAATGCTGAGGCCAAGGGTTCCTCCCATTCCCATTCCCTTTGCCACTTCCAAGCAAATAAATAATATCAGACTCTTTCCAGGCAAGACGTACTTTGGCCTAGTCTAGTGCCTGTTAGGGATTTTACAGTCGAAATTAACACTAAATCGTGCAATGCACTGAGCAGATATTTTCAGATATATCTTATGCTTGCCGATGGCATGACACACTCGGATGTGCCCTCGCGTGTGGCAATCGAATAGAAATAGCCAAGAATATGCAGAAAATGGTAATGATTAGCCATGGATTCGTGTGCATTGTAAGCCGTTATCTTATCGGGCGGGCAAGTAAATCATTATCTGATAATAGGCAGAACTAATTTGCTAAATGAAATTAGGCAAATGGAGCTCAGTGAGTGAGTCAGTTTGGTTATAGCGGGGCAGGAACGAGCACACGGCCGTATGTTCAAGTCCAAGTCCTTCGATCTGGTCAGTGAGGAGAAGACGAGGCGGGCAGAGCGGCTCTACCAGCCGCGACGGATGCGCTGGCTGAAGTACATCGTCCTGCCCGCCGTCTTTGGGTTTGTTCTTCTGCTGATCCTCTGCAACGTGGACTTCTCCTACGACGATGACGATGACGATGCGGATGATGCCTTATCCTCGGCCTCGGTGGACAGTCATCAGTGGTGGAGGCTGGTCGAGGAGGAAGGTTTGATTGTGGTCAACGAGCTGGAGCAGATATATAACCAGAGCGAGTGTCCAGGCGAAACTGCGCTTTTTGTGTCTGGATACAAGTTTCCGAACGGCAGCCTGGACGGGGACTTCCTGAGTGGCAGCTTCCGGCTGCAGAGCCTGGAGATAGTCGACTGTGATTTGAGACGCATAGAAGACGGCACCTTCGACCGGAGCAAGCAGCGCGGCCTGATGACCCTGCAACTGAGGAACACCCAGCTCCAATCACTGACTGCAGCTGCCTTTCGGGGACTCCAGCAGCTTCAGAACTTTACGCTGATCAACGAGGAGGAGTCCTTTGAGGCGGAGGGCTTTTTAGCGCCACTTGCCAGTACCCTGCTCAGCGCCAGGATCCATCAGAGCTACTCGGACAGAGTCTCCTACTCAGTCAGTGACTTCTTTGGAGGCCAGAATTTCACTCAGTTGAAGTGGCTCGACCTGAGCGGCACTAATCTCGGGGAGCTCCTGCTCTGGGATTCGTTCGGCTGTCTGCCCGCCCTGGAGCGACTCATTTTGGTGGATTGTGGTATTAGCCAAGTAGAGTGGAACACATTTCCCAGTTGTTTTAGATCATTGCGATACTTGGACCTGAGTGGGAACCCACTAGAGACAATCAGTGGAAACTTTCTGAGGGAGCAAGGCATTGAATTGGAACACATTGGAAGTACCGCGATGATGGACTCGGATTATGAGCAGGATATGGCTTCCACGCCAGTCTATAGCACAGCCCAAATCATGCCCATCACTCAAGAGATACAACCCTTTGTTCCAGGGGTTCGTACCACGACCGCCGAACCAACAACAATTTTAGAGACTGAGAGCACGACGTGGACAACGGAAACGTCAACGACCTCAGCACCTTTGGCCTGTTTGGAAGAATTATGCGAAATTCTCAACTGCACCGATCTCAAGGGACGGTCCAGCGAAACGCGGTTGACCTACAATGCATCTCTTCAGTTCAAGGATATCAGTAACGCTGTGGTGCAGGTCAGGCTCTCCCACTTGCAGTCGCTTCAGTGGCAGCTGGTGTACTTCTCCACAGCCTCATGGAGCGGCTATGTGGAGCAGGAGAACACCGAAGAGAGCACGGAGGACAACGGAGATGTTGTGGTGGCGGTCCCAAACCTGGACTGCGGCACCCCATTCGTCTTCTGCGTGGTGATGGCGGGAGAGAATGTCACCTCTCCACTGAACTGTCGCTCGCACAAGACCCTGAACTGTGTGAAATACTACACGCTGTCCTGGTTCGAGGCAAACAGCGGCCTGATCATAGGTCTGGGAATAGCGGGCATTCTCATCTGTGTGGCCTTGGGCATGCTGATCGTCTACGTGGCCCTGCGACTGCAGCCGAAGTGGCTAAGGGGTAGCCGCAGATTGGTCCGTCCTCTGAGGGACTCGAACACGATGTTTCTGGTGCCGAAGGGCTGCCAGCAGGAGGAATACGGCTACCAGGGGTAAGATGAGTGGCATTCTCTCGACACCATATCAGTTAAAACTGGGTTTTTGTCTTCCACAGAGATCCCACCTCTAAGAACGACAATTACGACTACGTCGCCTTCCACCGCTACTTGGAGCAAGCGAATCTCTATCGAACGGAATCGAATAAGTATATTTCCCCGCCCCGGGAGCGGGCTCCGTCCGTGCCCCCCTCCAGCGAGGCAGCCGCCAAGAAGAACTATGTCTACGAGAGCTTTGACTTGTACGAGGAGCTGCCTCCACACGTCCCTTGAGTCGACACAAATATTCGCTCTTCGCTCCATATCGCTGTTATTGTTGTGAGTAATTGATTGCTGATTGTCAATAATGCCTATTGGCAGATCTAAATTCATTAAACCGATAAGGTTTGTAAGGGCAATAGACATAGCCATAGAGCCATAAATGGGCAGAGTATCTCAATCCCAGATAGTTTTAGAGGCACTAATAAAAATCGGAGTAATCAAAATCTACTATCAATTTAAGGCCACATATCAACCAGGGTACCAAAGGATCAATAGAAATCCGTAATTTCGGGGAATCAAACGGATCGCTGGGTATCCGCCCGTTTTTTAGACATTTCACGAATGCCCGCAACGCCTTCCAGAAGTTCCAATCGTTGACTTTGAGGTCCCAAAGGCTCCAAAAGAGGGTTCATACCGTCACCTGGCACATACTGAACACAAAATGGCGGCGGCTATAGCTGAGAAGAAGTTGGGGTACAGCTTAACGTCCTTAAGGATCTGCAGACCCGGCCCTACCTTCTAGACAATTTATGCATATTTGGGGGTCAGCCGATTACCTTCAAGAACGGGAGTAATCGGCAGACCTTCAGCTCCTAAAGGCGGTCCAGAACGTTGCTCTCCAAGGAGAGGCACGAGGCCTGAACGGCCCCAGACCCCAGTTCATGCCCAACCGCAGGTGTACCAGATCCGGTGCCGATCACACGAGTCAGTCACCCGCATCAAGGGTACCCAGGGGCATCAAGCTGACCCTGAGATGACCCACCTACTGTCTACCCAGGTGATGTGGCACCCGGCTTCCCACCCAAGTGCATGTAGCGAGGATCCAAGTAAAGAGGCAGCAACTGGCGGCGCAGTCTTTTCAATGTTAATGATTTCCTTGGGATAGCTGGAGAGGACCACTACGCAGTAGCGTTAACGATTTCAGTGAGGATCCTCATTCCAACACCATGTGCAGATACATCCAGATGGAGCTCCAAGCTGTGCCGCAAATATCTCGCGAAGTCTGGCCGAAGTTTGCACAGTTCAATGCTTT